GGCCTTTACATGAAAAAATCAGCTAAATGGCTATGTTTTTTCTTTATTTGTATTTTTTTATTTNATATGTAAATGAAAAAATGAATTTAACTTAGTAATAGAAAAGAAATTTAAAAAAATTATTAGAAATTAGCGTTTTTACAACCCTTTTAAAACCAAGGCATCACTGTGATGCATTTGCATGTCGTGGGATTTTTCAAAATTTGCCCCTACCCAAAAGTTCGACCCAAATTGGGGGAGATCAGAATTCGTTTTAGAGGTATGGTTCCTTCGGCAAAGTTTCTTATTTTGATCCCTAGAATATGATTTTCACAGAGCAATGAGCGATTTTTTTGCCTCCCCACAAATCGACCCGGCCTAATGTATAAAGTACCCAGTATGTATCTGCATCTGTCCGCCCTTTTCAATATGATTCGAGGCAGCCGGCTTCATTTTCGTAATTTGAATATAAAAAATTTGGGTTAAACAGGGAAAGCATATCGTTTAACAAAGAATGACTCACTCTCACTAAATGATTGACAAAAAAAATTAAGTTTTGCAGAAAATAATACTTTTTTGTTAAGGAAAAAAAATTGAAAAAAATGCAACAGCTATAAAAAAAGGTTTGACTACAATTTGGCGTTGGCGAAAAGTGCAACAACAGAAAAATTATCTCTGCTCAGCTTTTAATTTTTGCATATTTTTCACTTTTCAGCAACGAAACAAGATACACCAAAAAATACGCATAAAAAGTAGAAATTTAAAACAGCTGCACTAACGTAAAGCATCGGCAGAAAATAAGTGAAACTGCAAAAAATAAACAATCTAAGAGTTTTTTTTTACAAAACTGAAGGAATCAACGAACAAGAACAACAAAAGAAACCAAACGAGTTGAAAGAAAGTATTTGAAAGCACAAAAAACAAAACACCCGCTAACATTACATTGAATAATTATTTATTATCAAAAAAAAGAACAACAATACGCGCACCGGCCAAAATGTCAACTAACAACGATATTGTCACAACTGAAAATGCAACGGCCACTGCATTGCCAATGTCACAAATGCAATCTGCAGCAGCACCGACACCATCAAATGATCAGGTAGGTACGCGCCGCACCACCCATGTGGCTCAATGCTAACGGGCAGCAACACAAACACCAAAAAAAAAGCACACGCTTACATTCAAACACACAGTGTATAACTAACAAATGCATAATCCAATTGCATTATGGCTTTTCTCAATTTTAGTGTGATTTTTATGTATGTAATATATTCTGCACTTAATTGCTGTTTGGCATACTTTTGGGCGTTGGCCCGTTGTTCCTGCTTGTTTTACTTAGTAGATAAATAGTATGTAGTTTTTGAAATTTTTGGCACGATTTGCTCGATTATTATGCTAATGTTATTACTTTCCTTTGGTTTCATATATTTTTCCAAGGTACTTTGCTGAATAATGAACAGCTATTACACATTTTTAGCACTTTTGTGACTTTGACATTTTTTAGTGGCCAATCATTCAACAAAAATAAATAAAAAATTCTACATCTGCATGACAAAAGTTTTAATACTCATTGAATTTATTAAGTGCTAAATATCGATTGATAATGGTTTTGTAAATTAAGGATAACTCTGTTGATTTTCTAAGCAAATTGAATACGCTGAAAAAGTTTGCGAAATCCGGTAGAGCTTTTTCGAAACTTCGAAATTATTACCTATGAAGCAGTGATATTGTCAGAAATGTTCTATTCATATTCANTAAAAAAAAAAAAAAAAAAAAAAAATTCTACATCCGCACGACAAAGTTTTAATAGATACTCATTAAATTTATTAAGTGCTAAATATCGATTGATAATGGTTTAGTAAATTAAGGATAACTCTGTTGGCTTCCAAGCAAACGAAGCACCTTATGTGTGGTATGTGGCTCCAAAACCAGCAAAATTTTCTAAGCAAATTGAATACGCTGAAAAAGTTTGCGAAATCCGGTAGAGCTTCTTCGAAACTTCGAATCTTTTACCTAGGAAGCAGTGATATTGTCAGAAATGTTCTATGCACATTCCATAGCGTTTTCCTACGAAAGTGCTTACTGCGCAATCAGTGATAAAAGTAAATTGCTCCAAAAATCGGTCACACTTTCGATTGGCTTCAAATTTTTTTTTATGGGTTCTATACATGTGTTCGAGGAATTTTTTTTTTCGCTTTTTTCTTTTGAGATATGATCTGTCAAAATTTGCATTTTTTCGCGATTCTGACTAATCATGTGCTCCTTCAAATCGTTCTATCTCGGGTTCTGTTGATCGTAGAGACTTCGTCTTAACGTCATTTTAAAGCTAAGAAACGACAAAAAAAAATATATAATTAAAAACATTTTTTCCCTCCTTATAAACTCTTGCCCCCTAGATGAAAGGCTGGCTACGCCCTTATATACAAAACATTTAGAGTATTTAAACCGTAGGTATATCATACGGTCAGTTTGTTCTTTCTATGGTTCCATAATAATGACTCCAGTATCTTCATTTATGTATATTATAACTATCATTATCTTATAAAGAGAAGTGTAATTTTTTTTTATCTGAACCTAATAAAGTTAGGAAGACGAAATTCGAGAATGTAGTAGTTAACATATTAGTCCTTGACATATATTTTGTTTTCAAAAATAGATATTGGATATATGTAGATATTTTCCAGGTAATAGATATTCAAGGATAAAATTTTAAAAGAACATTTTCTTTGCTTATTTGTCCTGTTGCACCCAAAAATTAACTTTTTTTCTATTCTACAGAATTTTTCCTTTTAATTGATACCCATATTGTTTTTTTACAATGCACCACATCTTTTGAATATTTATTTTATTCAAACATATTCTAGAAATTTCAAAGTCCTTTAAAAAAAAAAAAAATTTGACGTCAGAGAGAAAAAATAAAAACGCAGTTTTACTATATTTAGCAGTTTTGTGAATATATTGATTTTTTAGTGTGTAAAATTGACTGTTGCACGGTGTTATCGTAGCTCTTCTACTGCCACTCGTATAGAGAAAAGAAGCGTTTTTTTTCATGAACGAAATACGTTCAGAAATCTACCATTGCCGCCCAAGCGGCGATCTTTATTAAACAATTTATTTTTTTGGGAGCATCTCGGACCAAGAATCGAAACTGGATCCTGCCTCCTTGATATTTCCCGCTGGTTCGATGAAACCAAGACCTGAATCTGTTTTACTCCAAATTCTTCGCTTCCATTTTGCTGATACATTGTAACATTGAGGTTTTTTTGTTACTACCATAAGTAACCTACTACAAAACCCCGATTCAGTTAATACACAACCACTTTTGCCTTTTTAACATTTCATTTGTCAGATAACGAGCTTATTGCTTTCCTGTTGCCATTTTGTATCGCTCACCAAAGCTGTGTCAAGAGCACCTACCATAGTTCTTACCCCACTTTTGTGGTTTTAATTTTGCTCAATGCGGCTTATA